CTCGCCGCCACTCTCAAGGATCTGGAGGACATGACCGAGGAGGCCATCGAGCAGGAGATCGCCGCCGCCGTCAAGGCCGCCGTCGAGGCCGAGCGCGAGCGCCTCACCAAGCCCGATCCCAAGAAGAAGACCCCCCCGGCCAAGAAGGACACCGAGGCGTCCACCGACGCCGGGGAGGCCGACGAGCAGGAGGCAACCCCGGCGCCGGCCGACACCGAGGAGACCGCCCCCAAGAAGCCCAAGAAGCCCAAGAAGAAGGATGCCACCACGGCTCCCGCCGAGGAGCCCCTCTCTCCGGAGGCCCTGGAGGCGGCCCTGCAGCGCGTGGAGGCCGAGGCCACCGCCGCCGCCCGGGACCAGGCCAACGACAAGGCCGCCGTCATCCGCATCAAGCGGATCCGCGCGAAGAAGCTCCTGAAGCAGTTCAAGTGATGTGTGTCGCTGCCCACGTGATCCAATATACGCCGTCGATCGGTCATTTTCCTCGGCGGGGCTTTTCTTTTCCGTGCTCCCCTTTCCTTCGGCCGGCCTCCTGGTGTTTGGGCCGTCCCCCCGCCCGCCCTGCTGGCTGGGGGCCGAAGTTCGTGCGTGTGTGGGTGGATGAATAAGTGGGTGTGGGCGTGCGGGTGGGTGCCTCCCGGCCCCCAGCCAGGGAGGGGGGGGGGGGGGTGCGCCCGTCACACACAGCGGGGCTGCAGTTGCACCGGGCTGTCCTCGCCCCGCCGTCCTCCCCCCCCCCCCCCCCCCTCGGCCAAGGGTATGCGGCGCGAGGGGGGCCGGGCGCGCAGGTCGGCCCGGCAGGTTCCGATCGCGCCCCGGCCTCGATCGGATCCGCCATGCCCTCAGGACGCGGCCCGGGTGGGACGGCCGATGTCCCCCCTCGCGGCCCCTGCCCAGCCCTCCCCCTCTGCCGGTGCCCCGGACCCCAAGGGCAGCTCCAAAGCTCGCCTTGCCGGCTGGCCGGGCGCCTCTGCCTCAAGGCCGGCAGCCCGCTCCCCGGATCCCCTGTCCCTCCTCTCCTCCCTTGCCTTCGCGTGTCCTCCCGTCTCGCTTCCTCTTGGAATACACCTCCGCCCACCCGACCGCGACTCCATTCCCCTGCGGAGGCGCTCTCCCCCGGCCTGCAATGGGCACGTCCGGATGTGGTCGCGCCTGGGGCGCTCTCCCCCGGCTGCTGCTGCTTCTGCTCGGAGCCAGCTTGCTCTTGGTGGCGCTCGCGGTCCCCCGGGGCCTGGCGCACTCAACTTCCACGTCGGGCTCGGCTCCGCACGACTGCAACACCCCCCCGAAGCCGGTCCGGCGGTTCTTCAGCCGGAGCCTGCCCGCCTGGCAGGACCCCTTCCGCAAGTATCGCATTTCCTACTACGAGCGGGTTCTCCGAGGCGAGATCCCGGCGGCGCCGACACTGCCGCCGCTCTTCGAGACCGATGACGGCCACGACTCGGAGGCCGCCAGTCGCCAGCCCTCCGGCAGCGGTGGTTCTGCCTCGGGGGCCCGGCCAGACTCCGGTCCCCGGCCGCCGGCCCCGGCGCCGGAGAAGCCCCGCGCGCCGGCACCTTGCCCGCTGCTGATCGCCTGCAGTGCCTGCACCCCGAGCATGGTGCGCATGCCATGGGGCTCTCTCCGCCTCCCCCTCGCTCTCTCGCTCTCTCCTCCTCACCCTCCTCCCTCCTCGATCCTCGCCGGCCCCATGGCCATCCCCTCGCCCCGGCTGGCGCGCGCCGGCATGCGCCTGCCAGATGGAGCACCCTCAGTGCATGCCCACCGGCTATGTGTCCTCCTACGACTGCCCCACGGGCCTGGTCCTGCGGCCGTGCGAGAAGCCGGGCAAATTCCGCCGGGTGTCGTACATCGTGTTCCTGGTGCGTCACAGGGGGCATGCACTGCCTGCTCACACACGGCCGATGGCCCGAGCCCCTACTGACGGTCTCCCTCGTCTCGCGCCCGATCGGGCACCATCAGCTCGTCGCCGGGGTGGGGTTCCTCCTGGCGCTGGCCTTCCTGCGCATCCGCCGGCGCAAGCACCGGTCTGCCCTGGACCGAGTGATGAAGCTGTAGGCCCGGGGCGCCCCCCCCCC